TGGGAAGAATGCAGAATTATTGATGAAATGTTGAGTAAGTCGGAAAAAAGTATCCTATCCTACACTGCAAAGTAGAGTCACAGCTCAGATCTTGTGGTGGGGGGCTTTTATGAAATGTTCTGATTTATATTGGTAATCAAAGCTCAGTTAGATCAGCATCCACAATCTGCTATACACAGGCTTTCTCTTCCACCCTGCAAAGTCTGGAGCACTCAAACCAGTCCCAGGGTAGCACAGCCATAGTTTGCTGCCACATTTTTAGATCACAGCTGGAAGCTTTGGTACAGGATAGAAGAAAAAGAGAGGAGTGGGATAACTTGCTGAGCCTCTTGGCTTATGAAGGAAGGCTTACACAAATAAATCCCTTATGACTTACTTCCCTGAAGGGATGCTACACAGGACCCCTCTTGATTCCAGTGGCCTGTACATATGGCTGATGTGATCTTCAGAGTACTCTAAGGGGTTGCCCAAACATGATGGGTAGCAGAAGACTATGTCTTCTAGCTGTTGCCCTTGGCAGTATGCATATCCACACCAAGTCAGGGGGAACCTTGCATTTAAAAGGAATGCTACAGATTAGATGTTTAAATAAATGAAGCCAAGATCTAGGCTTTCCCAAGCTTGGGTCTCCAGCTGTTTTTGGACTCTAATTTCTATCAACCCTGACCATATTTGCTTTTCCACATTCCTCAGAATGCCACAGATAATATCCTTTAAAACATAAAGAAGAAAAAATACATCTAGCTATACCATACTAAATATATGCACGAACACCACTTTGTTTTACATTGATTCCTGCATGCAATAAACGGTGTGCACTTTAGTCTGAGCACCTCTTTAGATCGTATCCTTCTGTCTCATAATGGTTTTTGCAGCACATAATTTTCTTCATTAGCATTATGTCCCATATTTTCCTTTTCCACTGGTCCATCGTTGGTAAACAGCCTATGCCCCTATATTTTTGCCTCATAAGGAACTCGTAAGATGAAACTCCACACAGGGTTAGCCTGTTGTAGCTGACTTAAGGCTCACAGCCTGTTCTCTGTCCCAGTGGAGAAACATGCAGACTGAACTGCCATAAGAAGCCAGTGTTGGCACCCTCCACCATCAGCTGCACTGGTCTTATGGACCATATCTCCAGCTCCATCCCTGTAACTGATAAAAAATCTCATGGATAAGCGATGGGGGGCAAAATAACATTCTCTGATTATACAGTTCTGTCCTAGAACTGATTGGGATGGCAATATTTCTGAAGGCACCAGTGAAGCAGCATATGATCTGACAGACATGACCCAGAATGCAGTCCTTTCACGTTAGCAGAAGTCCACCTTCAGCTCTAATGTTACAAATTTGTTTCATTTTCAGTGCTCTCCAGAAAGTTTTCCCTGGGCAGAGAAGCTTCCTTCTTTCACGATCGACTTTTGCTGGATCCGGAAAACTCACAGGACATTGGCTGGGAGATAATTTTGCTACCTGGAATGATATTAAATGGTCCATACAAGGAATTTTGGAATTTGGTCTCTTTGGATACCCTTATGTAAGATACTTTAACTTTAACTCTTCTTCTTCTTCTTCTTCTTCTTCTTCTTCTTCTTCTTCTTCTTCTTCTTCTTCCTCCCCCCCCCCCGCTTCTTATCATTATTTACTATTTCCCCTGCAATTAACATATTCATTGCAGCTTCCAGGTGTGATTCAGGGACGATATCTTTCAAATAATTCAGTAGCAATATTATAGGATGGCTTGGTAGAATATATCTTCATTTCTGGAATGTAATTTTGAATAAATTTGTATTTTTTTTTCCAAATAATTTTTATTGGCTTTTCACCTTTTATGAGTACAAAACACACACAGAAAAGACAAAAGACAAAAACATGTATAATTTCAGAAAATCCTACTTTCTTAACCTTATTCCATGACTTCCCCCCACCCCCCTTCATGCATCCCACTTCCCATAATTGTGTCAGCAAATTGGTATTTCTCCTCTTAACCATCTTCATAATACCTCTTTTATTAAAGAAAAAAAAGAAAAAAAAATTTTCTAAGTTGGACTCAGATTCCCTTCCATCGATTTCCCATTTTGTCTTAAGTAAAGGTCAAATTAACTAAACCCAAAAGTCCTGAGTGTTTTTAACATTCTATTCTTCCCTCCCTCCCATCCCCGGTTTTCGTCCCTTCCCCAATACATGTCCAAAATAACAGTTCTTAGCCTGGATTCCTCACGTCCGAGGCTTTCAAATTTCTTTCAGTCCCTCTCCGCCGGTCTTGTTGGTAGTCCTTTATATTGGTCATCAAATCTCGAAGGAGTTCTGTCCCCATCAAACCAGGTTCTCTTCCCACAAGGGCATTTGAAAACAACTGCTGCAAAGGTTCCGCAGGCCATGCATCTTCAGAGTCAGAGTAAAGGCCCCAATCATAT